CTTACAAAACCTCAAATGAGACCACTGCCAAGAAGTGCTTGCTCACCCCTGCTGCAACGGCAGGGGAATCTCCCTTTCCTTTTATGGGTGAAGCGCAAGAAAGGATTCATAAGTGGAGCCTGATCCTTCTCACCAAACACAGCCCACACCTCCCAGTAATTAAGCTTGACAAAAAAAAAAAAAAAAAAAAAAAAAACCTGGTTGAGAAATTACCGCAAACTATATTGTCATCAAAAAAACACTTCCTATATGAGATCACAGAAGAGAGTAGGCACAACTTCCTGCTGAGACGATCGGCTAATGCTTAAATAGAACAACTCCTGACTGTCATTGACATTTTATAAAAAGCCAAGAGGACAGCCCAAGAGGATACAGTCCTTGTCCTGGCATCCTCCCAGTAGGATGCAGGAAAGAGGCTGACCCAACATACTGAAGAGCGTTTCATCCAAGTTCCCTGCTCCATCCTGATTCCACGTGCCAGGATGATGGAGTCACGTTTGCTGTTGCTAGGATTACTCTCATTCATCACAGTACCCAGTTGTTGTACAGGTAAGAGGCCAGGAGATGTCCTGGGAATCTTGGGAAGGCTAATGGACTCTTGGGAAGCCTAACACTCCTCAGCTGCAGAACCAGAGAGAGTACTAAGGTAGAAAACTGTGAGAAGGAGGTTCTACCTGTTGAATGTGGCTCACCAGAACCTCACTTTGTGTCTCAGTGGCCCCTAATCTATAAACTTTGCTCAGAATGGCATGAAGGATTTCATCATTCATAGTCCTTTATAGATTTTGTTTGTTTGTTTGTTTGTTGTGAGACAGATTCTCATGTAGCCCAGGCTGGCCTCAAACTTCACTATGCAGAAACAAGTGTGACATTGAACTCTTGATAAATGTGCTCCACCTATCTGGTATTTGCTTGCTTTCAGGTAGTCATGTAGCTCAGGTTAGACTAGAACTCACTATAAAGCCTAGACTGGTTTTAGATTGGAGATTCCCTTCCTCAGTCTCCCACGTGCTGGGATTATGGGCCTGGGACACCATGCCCACCTAATACATTTTCTTTTATTCTTTCTCTACACTCCTAAACACAGCTGTATGGTAATTCTAAAAAGCTACTAGAGTCCTCTCAAAGTCAGATTTAATATGCCTGAGGTATGAGTAACTCATATGAAGCAGACAATTTAGGACTTCAGAAATGTTTCATTCCCAGGGATGTTTTGGTTTTGCTGTCTTGGGGAGATCCTTGTGAGTGTGATTTTATGGCAAATTCAGAAAACATAAATATACTCATTTTAGAACACAGCTTGTCTCTCCTTCTCTGTGTGTAGCTCTGTATGTGTACATATGGACACACATGTTAGTAGTGAATTCCATCATCATGGATTTTCTCAGATATTGTCTTAAAAAATAAAAATCACTAACTTGGGTATCAAATAACTCCTCTTAATTGAGGGTGGATTTTCTAATGCTGCTTTTTTTTCTTGTTAATCCAGCAAGAGAAGTAAGGTTTGGGAGAAATATATATATCGAGAGAAATGGGAATAGCTCACTATGTAGTCTTGGGTTGTCTGGAACTTGCCATATAGACTAGATTGGCTCAAACTTATAAAGATCTACCTGCTTCTGTACATACCATCATACCAGGATAAAAATATGTATTTTTGAGAGCCTATAATTTCATACTATTAATTTCTAAAAATTTATTCTTTAATAACGCATAAAATGTGTTGAGAATAGAAAGCTTAAGACATTTACATGGAATCTGGTTGCTGATTTTGGGGCAAGTGACCACATTATGTTGTGCCACACAGTGACCTGGTGTAGGAGCATTGTGACTTTGGAATTAAGGTTGCCATGATTTTAGGAAGCTTTTAATGTGATTTCTCACTCAACAGCATCTATCCCTCAACACAGTCTTTGCCAGGTCAGTCCAAGTCAAAAACAACCAAGTCTTCACAATCAAGTGTGTTCTATCTCTGAGGAAAGTATTTCACGTAAACTTGTGTTATTATGAGCCGCGGTTGACTTATAAAGAGCTCCAAATGGTCTTTGTGGGTTAGCATTCCGAGTCCTTCATTTGCTTGGTTTTGCAAAACACCTGCCCATACACTTCTTATGCATACATGTATGGAGAAACGGCAGTAATATAGGTTGAAGTGTGTTTAGAGCTGTGGAGTGTGGAGTTGTCAGAGAAGTCTTCGTGAAGGTAGCTGAGCCCTGGAGACTGGTAAATTTCCGTAAGGGAAGATTTAGGATGAGAAGACACGTGGGACAAGACACAGAGGTGCACGGGGAATCAATAAGCGGTCCCATGCGGTCTCTATCCTGGGCAGGAATATGGGAATATGGGGTAAAGTACAGAAAGATAGAAACTAGGCCAAAGGAATTAAATTCCTGGTCAGGAAGTTCTTTTCTTTTCCGGTATTGTTGGGTAGAAAAGAAAGGCTTTGAATGTGCTAGACAAGTTCTCTACCACTGAGCTGCGTTTCGAGCCCACAGCGCCAAACATTGCAGTTGCATTTGGTAGGCAACGAAAAACTACTTGAAAAATGTTAGGGAATACCACTTATAGAGCACGTTTGATGAACCCGATGTAAAAATTATATTGCAACTTCTAATCACTTGGCAGTGTGGATGGCATGAATCTGCAGAATAACCCCAAACTCAGATCGTCATGGTTGCAAGGCTCAAACTCAGCTTGTCCTTCCTGTTGAAAACAGGACCAGTGGCGACCCCGGCTGAGAGTAGAGGGGGAACGGGCAAGGAGCTATGTCGAGAGACAAATTCGTTCCCAGTGGGAAAGAAGATGAAATGTACTGGAGTACTGAGGTCGGAAGTGTCTCAGACACTACCCCAGCACAAGAGGTGATCTCATTTCAGATTCCTTTTTCCTCCAGGAAGCATCCAGTTTAAACAATTCATGGGGTTGGAGGGATGACTCCCTGGTTTGGAGCTGTAGTTGCTCTTACAAAGGACCCAGAACCCAACATGGTGGTTCACCACCATCTGTAACTCCCAGTTCCAGAGGATCTGACAGCTTCTCCTGGCCTCCATAGGCACAGCATGCCCTTGTGCACAGACCTATGCACAGGCCAAACACCTAAAGATATAAAATAAATAAATCTTCAATTGAAAACGATTAGAAAAATAAACAAGTCTTTCTATTCCTCGGGGCAAGGGAGAGGTCTTTAATGAAATAAAACAGACTGCCAACAGATATGCAATTTCTAGCTGATTCATAAAGCAGATTTTCATTCTGAAAATTTCCAAAGCCACCATTTAAAAGTGTGATGTGGCACAAGGGATGTATTAGTCAACTTGAGTGTTCTTAGTCTCTATATCACTGGGCGTTGGGATGTGGTTAAAAAGAGAATTCTCCCTGATATTGCCAACACAGCGGGTTACTACAGGCGCCTTTCTCAGAATTGTGGAAATTCTGAGATACCCTCTGATCATCTTTCATTCTAGGAATTCTGTAACCAAATCTTTATCCCTGTAGAGTCAAAAGACAAAAGGTGTGGAAACCCATTAAGGTGATACGCTTGTCTAATTATCCCTTCTGGTAAAGGCTGCTGCCCACACCAGAATTTCCCATCTTTACTTTTGCTATTATGACCCATGCTTCACATGTGATCGTTCAGTGTCTCCACACTTTAGAGCCACCGTTGCTGTGTTCATCTTCAAAATAGACCCTGGAGAGATGGGCCTTTGCCAAGTATTGTCAATGCTTAATGAAAGAGTCATGACTTTTTATTAAATGTCTTAAATAGACAGCTAGGTATATAATCCACGCTTATGCTCCATTTAGCTTTGAGAACTGAAAAAAAAAAAAAGCCGTAATTGATTCCATCCACTTCTGCCTCAACTGGCCACGCTCTGAGACAACAGCTTGTGTGTTCTACAACTCCACCACTCCATTCCCCCCAAAGACAAGGACTCTTGGGATTTTTGTGTTCACGTGGAAATGTGTGCATATGAATGGTGGGGGGGGTCAGCTTTGGTATTAATCTGCATATGCGATTCACATGAGTTTGCTTTGTTATCGTTTGGGAGTTTTTATTGCTGTTGTCTGGAGATGGGTTTTTGTTTGCTTGTCTTTTGCTTGCCTGGGGCTACATGGTTGGGTGAGGCTGCCTGGGCAGAGAGTTTCAGGAATCTGCCCATTTCTTATTTCCCAGGACTGGCATTAAAGGTATGACTGCCACATCCTGCTTTTCTTTTCTTCATTTTTTTAATAGTATTTTATTTTAGGTGCATGAGTGCTTTGTCTGCATGTTTATATGTGCACCACACAACTACCTAGTACCCTCAGAGGTCAGAAGAGGGCATTGGATTCTCTGAGACTGGATTTGCAGATGGTTATAAGTTCTCAGGTGCTGCTGGGAAGTGAACCTGGGTCCTCTGCAGGATCAATAAGTACCCTTAAGTGCTGAGCCATCTTTCCAGACCCCATACTCAGCTTTTCTGTATGCAATAGGGATCATACCTATGCAGCAAGCACTTTACAAACTGAGCCATCTCCCCAGCCCCAGAGATGTGTGCACACACATACACATGCACACAAATATACACACATCCACACAAGCACACACACACATCCACACACACTCAAAAACTTAGAGAGTTCTAGATACTTTTGTGCAATTTCCTGTGGAAATCATTCCTGTGCTAGCAGTGAATGCCGTGAAGGTAGACTGCACCTCCACACACTAGCTGTTAAGGTTAACACCCCATTTTCCTTAGTGTTTGGTAATGCACATAAATTTCACAAATAAAGTATGAATTTCCTTAAGAAATGGAGCATACCTGTCAGGCAGTGGTGGTGCACACCTTTAATCACAGCGCTCGGGAGGCAGAGGCAGGTGGGTCTCTGTGAGTTTGAGATCAGCCTGGTCTACAGAATGAGTTCCAGGACAGGCTCCAAAGCTACAGAGAAACCCTGTCTTGAAATCTACACCCCCTCCAAAAGAAAGAAAGGAAGGAAGGAAAGAAGGAAGGAAGGGAGGGAGAGAGAGAGAGAGAGAGAGAGAGAGAGAGAGAGAGAGAGAGAGAGAATGCCAGCAGTGGTCAGTGAGGAAAAGAATTAGGAGGCAAATAAACTTTTAAAGAAATGGAGTTTGGAACAAAACACCTAATGATGTTAGGAGAACCAAAAGCAAGACCTAGGAAGTCATAGTTTTCAGGAAATTTCTCTCTGCAGGAGAAGGTTGATAGACAACTCTTGAAATCCCCTTTCAGCTGAACATTCTATGTCCAGAATTCTGGAAATAGAAACATTCTCCACAGAAAACATTTTTATCCTCGGGCACTGCTGGAAATCAGAGAAGTTCCCAACCAAAGACAAGCCCAGTAGGAAAAGGATTGAAAGGTCACCCAGCATCAACAGACCAGAGTCTGGTAGCTCAGTTGCAGGTTATTTCCCACTCTCATTGCAGTACGATTACAATTTCCGCATTGCTCAAGCTGTGGGTGTAGGGTAAAAACACCACTGTTTTGGTGAAGTCTTCTTAGGCTTATTTGCTTTCCAAGGGAATTTCTTCCCTCAAATGATGTCCCTGTTTCTCAAAAGGAGTGTGGAGATATTACTCTCTTCTCTTTGTCTTGAGCCATCCCCTGTGAGAAAAAAAAAAGAGCACCTTCATTAAGTACATTACTTCAAAAAAGTTATAAACTCCAAGTCTGAGATGCCTTGGGAGTTAGGAACACATGCTAGTTTTGATGAGTTAGGGTCCTAGGACTCATGCTGGGAGTCTCACAACTGCCTGTTTGGATCCAGTGACCTCTTCTGACCTGCATGTACTTATAGACACACACATAAATAAAAATAATTCTTTAAACATGTTATAAACCCTTCATCTCTGAATGGGTTTCAAATAAAGGCTGGACTAGAACCCAGGTCTCTTGAATATTGGCCCAATGTTTCCCGTACATCTTTATCCTGATTCTCAGAAGTGATATCCCTTCCTTCATGCAGCCACCATTCATGTATTAGGATTATAGGGATGAGAAAAGGTATAGCCCTTGTTCTTCAACAGGGAAGATTAAATATCTGCTGAGAGGCTCGTATTTTGAAGACGGCCAAGGGAGAGTCAACATCGGCCAGTGAGTCAACATTCCATCCCATACCAATTCCCCACCATGTTTTCAAGGAGGGCACCCATCTGCAGGGAAAGCAACAGTTAAGCCATCCCTGGAATTTTAGATATTGTCTACTCTAATGTTGTTTGTTGGGGGAGGCTGAAGTAGATATAAAAATTGTAACTGTAATTCTTGCTTGATACCTGTTTTGTTATATGGAATTTTACTATGCTAAAGTTAAAACTTTTCTTTTTATTTAGACAGAAAAGGGGAGGTGATGTATGCTGTGAATATGGCTTATTGACATTGGTTAATAAAGAAGCTGCCTTTGGCCAATGGCTTAACAGAATATAGCCAGACTGGAAGAAACATATAGAGAGAGTAGGCAGAATCAGTGAGAACCATGTAGCCGCCCACAGGACATAGACACCTCCACCAGTGCCCACCGGAACCTTGCTGGTAAGCCACAGTCTCATGGTGATACATTAATAGAAATGAGTTAATTTAAGATATAAGAGTTAGCCAGATATATGCTTAAGCTATTGGCCCAACAGTATTGCAATTAACACAGATTTCTGTGTGGTTATTTTGGTTCTGGGCAGCCAGGAAAAAACAAGCAGTCTCCCCCGACAGTTGTTCAGATAGTTTTTGACTATTTGATTTTATAGTCATCTTGGGATTTGCCTTCATCAATAAGAGAGCACAGGTCTCACTGGGGACTGGATGAGGAGCAGTGCTTCCCAATACCAGCTGCACACTAGAGTGTGCGTCTGGGATGCGTGTGAAAGTGATGACTGAGACTTCTTGAGAAGAGTGAAGCCAGACTCTCTAGGGAGGAAAACCAAACATACCGATGACATTCTTTGTTATGTCTTCACACAATGAAGACGCAGTGAGGATTGATACCCAACTAACACTTTAAATAAGGAGAATAATGGCCCAGCCAGGCATGGTGTGTACACCTCTAATCCCGCACTTGGAGCCTGGTGCAGGAGGATTGTGAGTGTGAGACCAAAGCTCCACAGTGAGACTGTTTTAAAAGGAACAAACCACAAGAAGAGAAGAGGGGAAAGGAGAGGGAAGAGGAGGAAGGGAACATAAATGATTCCCATGTCGTTCTGATTTCATGGTTTCATTTTTATTCACTGAGAATAGAGAAGAACTTCCCACACACAGGACAGCGGGAGATATTGTCCTAAAGCACTCTGTTTGGATAGGGATTTGGTTGCTTGAAATTCCAGTTCAGACAGGCTCCAACATGAGGCCTGTGTTGTCGGTGCCTGGGCCCTGTTGTGAGCAGCAGGATATCAGGTAGCAGGAGGCATGCACACTGCCTACCCACACAGAACTCGAGACTGAAACGGGAAGCAACTCCAAAGAAGATCAAATGTTGATCAAAGGTTGCAAGATCTGTCTAACCCAGCCTATGAATATTGTGCGTGGTCAGAAGACAAAGAGCAGAATGCTGCCTGGTTAACTAAGGACGACCTCTGAGAAGGGTTTGTGGGGAACCTAGCTCAGAGGGATGCTTAGGAATAACAGATGTTAGAAGACAGTATTGATACGGTTTTCCTGGACACATGGACTGCTATCCATGCATGACAAACTAAAGACTGAGGAACTGAACAGAACAACCAAACCAATAAACTATATCTGTCATATATACTATATGTATGTGTGTATATATATATATGTCCTACACACATATACAAACACATATATATACACACATATATATGTATGTATGTATATATATATGCTTCCAAATGTGTGTCTGAAGAAAATGGGGTCCAAGTGCATAGTGATTCTCTGATAAAATTTAATACTTTCTCCACATAAAAAAGCTGAACATGATGATGTATATTTGCAATCCCAGTGCTGGGAAAGAAAAGCAAATCCCTGGGGCTCAGTGGTCTACTGGCCAAATCAGTGAGCTCTAGGCTGATGGAAAACCATATCTCAAAAGGGAAGGTGGATGACTTCTGAAGAATAAGACTGAGGTTGACCTCAGGCTCCCACATGCACACACGTGACAGATGTGCCCTCATGGATGTGTGCAATAATAATAGAGGTAGTAACGCTTCTGCTCAGACAAAAGACTTTGCATGTCCCTCATCCTTTAATCCTCCCATACCTACAGGTGTTACTGGTCTCTAGTAGATTTCTTCTACATGATGGATTACTGACCAGCTTTGCCAGTATCCCATGACATCCCTGGATATGGTCAAAGCAGTTTTGAGTCTTCTAGTCCTACATATATATTTTTAACTCTGTCTCAGTTCAGTCAACCTTATACCACAAAGCCAGAACGCCAGGGCTTCTAACCTCATACCCTACTTCATCTAGGCTTCTTCAGTCAGCCACTCTCAAGGCAGTAGCAGGCTCCCTGCATGCACGCAGGAGGCTTAGGCTCATATGCCTGGACAGTCAATGGTTTCACCGAAGAAGCAGCATTTTATTTTTTCTTTAAAATTTTTAAAGATTTTATTTTATTTTCTGTGTATAAGTGTGTGTGTGTGTGTGTGTGTGTGTGTGTGTGTGTGTGCATCATGGGTATGCCTGGTGCCCAAGGAGGCAGAATAAGGCATTGATTGGATCCCCTGAAACTGGAATTATGAAAGATTGTGAGCCACGATGTGGGTGCTGGGAACTGAACCGGGTTCTCTGCAAGAGCAGCAAGTGCTCTTAACTGCTGAACCAGCTCCAGAAGCATTTTAAACAGTGGAGATAACAAGAAGAGCTTATGTTCACTGTCTATGTGCAGTTTTTCAGGTATTGTGTTAAGTCAGTATCTCCTGGGTCAATTTTCAAAATAAGATAGTTCTGCCAGGCATTGTGGTTTATGCCTTTAAGCCCAGCACTTGGGAAACCAAGGCAGCAGATCTCTATGGGTCTCTTCTACATAAAGCAGTGGTTCTCAACCTTGCTAATGCTGTGACCTTTTAATATAGTTCCTCATGGTGTGGTGACCCAACCATAAAATTATTTTGTTGATACTTCATAATGGTAATTTTGCTACTGTCATGTATTGTAATGTAAGCAACTGCTTCACAGTGCTACTAGTTAACCCGGAATCCACAAGTTGAGAACCACTGACATAGAGAGTTCCAAGCCAGTCAGGGCTACACAGTGAGCCTCTGGCTCTCAAAAATCTAGGTAGTTCTTATTATCTCCATTTTGTACCTGACAAACTTTGTCTTTGATCAGTGAAACAAGCAGCTGATGTAACACAACTAGGATGGTTCTAGAATTTGAGTTTGTAGCACCTCTGCCTACCACCTGCCTTACGGAGCAGCCCCACAGTCTAGCAGAATGGCCTACCTGTTGGATCTCTTGCATTTCTTTGTGGTGTGTGTGTGTGTGTGTGTACACATGCATGTATATACACGTGTGTGGGGATTAGAGCTCAACATTCTATCTTCCTTTATCTCACCATCTTATTTCTTTTCATTTTTATTTTACTTATTTTTGAGACAGGGTCTCTCACTGAGCCTGGAGCTGACCTGCTCAGCTAGACCATCTAGTGAGAAAGCCCCGGGAATCCTCCTGTCTCCCGCAGCTCCACTACTGGGGCTACAAACCGGCATCACCATCACCAAGCTCAGATTTTCCCGTGGGGCGTAGGGCTCCAAACCAGACTTCTCATGTCTTCACAGCCCTTTACTGCCCGGTACAGCCTCAAACTCTTTTTTTTTTCTTTCTGAAATGCAGTCTTATGTAGCCCAGGCTGGCTTAGAAATTCATTAGGTTTGGCCTTGATCCCTCTGCCTCCACTTCCAGGTGCTTGGGTTACAAATGCATACCACTACATCTCAGTCTGGTAGAAGCTCTTCAGGACTGGTCCTTAGAACCCGTGCTCTCTGGATCCTTCTGTTTCCTTTGCAGCTTTTTTCTACCTGTTTTCCTTTTGCTGCCGTAACAGAGCAGCCTGGGGTGTTTTCCTTGCATCTGACTGAGCTTCACAGAAAGCGCTGTAGCCGAGTCTGCCTCGGAAGCCCACAGAACAGAGGAAATTCTGAGCACCTCTGGGCATGAGTCACCACACCTTGTTCAGGAATTGCCATCTCTGCCCACAAAGTCACCCACTGTTTTCTGTTTGGGACCAAAATAGATACCTCCTTCAGAAACTGGTTTTCTTTGTGCTCCCAGTAATAAAAAACAAAAGACAAAGATGGGTATGTGCCTCTCAGGGCAGACAGAGAAGCTGCTGTACACGTAGATGTGACAGGAGGAAGAGACAGTGACAAGGGACATCCTATGTTTGAGGCTGGGCTTCTGATTATTTCTGTGTCTATCGCTTGGCCCAACCATTTACACACTAGTTCATTCACCATGTATTGAGCACCTACTGTGTATGAGTCACAAAGTCAGAGGTGAGTAAAACCTACCTCTCGGCCTCCCGGAGCTTATGAGGAGAGAAATACTGCCTGGACTCCTGGGATCCAAGCCAAGGGCTGAGATTCAAGTACAAATACAGAGCTGATGTACACATAGGCCATTGTCCATTACTCCGACGAGACCAGTACACCAGAAGC